TAAGATCGAAATGAAAGAGAACGGGTAGAAAATAAGGGCGCTATCTCACTTGTAAGGGGTCTACGTCCGAATCTCTCATGAAACCTCGACCATGTGCAAACTCCCGCTGTATGGGGAAGGACGGCCTCGACCCATTCTCGAATCCCCTCCAAAGGAGGCGGGGGTAGCTTCTCGGCTGCAAAGCATCGAAGTAGATCAATATTTACAACATAAGATATAAAGAGAGCAAGGACAAAGCGGGTACTATATTAACCAAGGATGAAGACTTACGAGCAAAATTCCACACTTCTGGAAATCCAGATGGATTCGCCACGAGGTGTTCGGTCCGCACATAGAAAAAGTTATCAAAAAAGCGACGATTGGTCCTATCGTCCATCTTGACCACCAAACCCTTTGACCCTCGGGGACGCACGTGGATCATAGTGCCGCGAATCTTTTGAGGAGCGAATAGGCTGAGCACGTGCCTCAGAGTGACCTCCCGACCGGCCAGCTCCGCGTACTTGATAAACATGAGAAACAGCTTGTACAGATAAGGAGAAAGTTGGTCAAGACACACCTCATAATAGCGGGAGAAGTCGACCATCAACATAGGAAGTAGGAGCGTGTACCCTACGAGGAAGGGATAAGCGTAGAACGAGCAAAACCCTGGGCGGTCGATTTGGACCCTGTCATCTCTCCCTGCCGGTACCATCTCGACATAACGGGGAATACCCCATCGCTCCCTTAAATCCGCTATCCCGACTTCCCCCATAAGAGGAGAAATATTTACCTGCTCCGCAACGCCATCGACGCTGAAATCTATCACTGCCCTCCCCGGGCGGGATAAAATTTCCTCTACTGAAGGAACATCTTCGCATTCCATCGGTTCTGTGTCTCCATCTGCCGGAGCGGGGTTCTCAGCTGCCGGAAGGATAGCCGGGAGATTATCACGAGAAGAAGTTCCTTCCATATTTAACCCACAAAAAGAGGAGGAAGGAACTTTGCGGAAGAAGTGAGAAAATTGAAGATTGCTGCGAGCAAAGGAGTAAAGAAGAGCTCAAATTAACAGAAAGGGAGATATCCTGGGAATTCTCTCGAAGATGAGCGATGGAATGTGAAAAATGAATGACAAACCCCTTCAATTTATAAGACACAAATTCTCCAGGGCACGAAAACAAACGGTCGCCACTAGAGCCTGACCGGGCGCGAAACAATTCAGCTTCTCGGGAACATGTGCCATTATGACTGCTTGTACAAAGCGATGTTTCGTTTATCAACCGGCGCTTCAGTTTCGAAACCGTCATAACGGTATAAAAGTATTAGAAAGACGCCCCCGGGCAGTTTCAAAATTCATAACGCGACTAAGGAATAATATGTGAATCTGACTCCCTCCACGATTACGTCGCAAACATGATCCGTCCGCCGAGGTCGGCAAGACACGGCCCCGACGAACGGAGGGACTAACTGTATTGGTCAAAATCTGACCATACGAGCACGGCGGCAATGACCCCGTCTCAACCATCCTGCAGAAGTAGCCAACGAACCCGACTTCGTTCGATCATCACTACTTTCGATATGAGCATTGAGGCCAAGGCCTCCCTACGACGAGGAAACACCTCCCCGACCCGATCATGATAGAGCATGATCTGCACGAGAAGTTCTCGACTATAAATACTAGGCAAGAGAGCTGAAAGAGGGGCTTCTTCTCCATTACAAAAAACAGTCCGAAAATGGGAAAAAGGGAGAGACTCCATTTTCGACTACTCATGAAGGAGATAACATGATTGTAATCCCCTGAACCTCTTCAAGGAGAGGCAGGGCAAATTTCTATATCAATAAAACCTCCCAAGTGTTATTTCTGTTCAATCTTCTATTTTTACGACTCTGTCTTTCGATCCAGTATTAATTATGATTGACTATGATTTACCCCTTCATTTCTTTTTGATTGATTTGCTTAAACAATTTTTAATAACTTTTGAGTCAAAAAATACGTATTAAGATTAAGATATATGTATCTGAATACACATCTGAATATTAAGATATGTTTTAAGATCTGAATACTAAATGATTAAGATTGTTTGTTTCTTTAAACATTTGTATATGTATAATTTATCTTTATTTAAAAATTAATAAACATATATTTAAATAAAATACTAGTTAATCTAATATTCTATCAATCTAACAGAGGTGCTTGTGATTTTGGTTGATGGTGATTTTGGTTGATGGTGGTAGTTCTGGGTAGTAGCTAGTGGTGATGTTAGCGATTATGATTGAGGATGACGGTGGTGGGTGGTGATAGTTAATAATGATGGATGGTGGTGGTGGTGGTTGTGGTTGTAATTGAAGAAGGTGATGGTGGGTGGTGGTAGTTTATAATAGTGGGCGGTACAGGCTATGGTTATTAATGGTGATGGGGTAGTTGGTGGTGGCAGTTGAGGCGAGTGAGTTTATGGATATAGTTGAGGATGATGGTGGTGGGGGTGGTCAAAGTTGTGGCGACTATGGTTGAGGATGGTGGTGGTGGTAGTTGATAATGGTAGGCAGTGGCGGCAGTTAGTAATGAATGTGGATGATAGCATCTTAATAAAATTAATTAGATCTTAATCATACAAGCCTATTCAGACCCATTAAGTGGTTGTAAAGTAAAAAAAAAAAACACACTTAATGTTTAAGATCTGAAAGAGGAATATTCAGACTTAAAAAGCACACTTAATGTCTGAGATCTGGATGATTAAGATTCGGACCTCTATTAAGTGGCATTAGTATGAAGCAAAGGCGAAACTAGAATCTTAAGTTTATGGGTTCTGAACTATCCCGGGACTTATAGCTCTTCTTAGTAACTGAGTTCGCAACAGATATTTATATATATTTATTGAATTTTCTAATACAAATACAAAGTGTAAGTAAAAGCTATTGGGTTCATCCGAACCCGTAACGAATAGTCTTACTTCCGCCCCTGGGACTATGAAGTATGTCTTCTTTGGTGCTTAGCAGCGTGACAATCTCAACTATGGTCCATGAAAAGAGGAGGCCTAAATAACTTTAATTTTATAATTACTAAAATCAATCAAATGCTCGACCGTTGACTGCAACATTCTTCTTAATCGAATCTTTGGTCTTCATTATTGTTTCCAAAGCCTTCAAGAAAAATAATACTGTAGTACAGACCTGTCAGAAAATGGTACGTTTTGTTCTAGATTTCTTTAATTTGCACTATTTTAAAATGTATTAGATAAAAAAAAAAAAGAAAAATACAAGAATCTTTAGTTGATTACGTTTTTTTTAAAATCAAGTCAACTCAACTTTAGAATTATGTACATTCTATAGGTTCTAGGATTCTATAATTCAAAGATAACTCACCTCGTTTAATATATGAATATAGTCAAAGCATAAAGAATTTTTCTATTTAAAAATATAGTTTATCTTTTCAGATTAAATTCACTTAGCAAGAAAATAATGTTTTTAAATTTTTTTGGAGATGATTGAATAATAATATAATATTAAATTACTTTCGCACTTCCGCATATTCGAGTAACTTGTTGCCACGACCCCACGTAGGCTACACGTTCTCCTCGTTACCACCCTTGTCCTTTCTGCTTTTCTGCTGTCACTTCTAGAAGCACAAGTATAGTATTTGGAAATAAAAAGGAACCGTCCAATTATTCCATCCATCTCTTTGTAACCATAAAAAAGATATTAGCACAAAAAAAAAAAAAAATAAACCGTAAAAAAGAAGACAAAACCCACTCTTTTCGTTTTAATTATGTAACATCACTTAAATTAACAGAGTTTAATATTTTTTTTCAAAATTCATTTTTTACAGAATGATATTTGTGCGATTATTAATTTTTGATACTTATAATCACAATATAACATAATATTTAAAATAATAAAAAAAATTAACAGTTATAGTATTTTTAAATAAAAATATGTCTGATTTTCTTGAACGAACTAGGAGGGTGTTTGGCTAAGCTTATAAGCTGGTCAAACTGGCTTATAAGCACTTTTTGGCTTATCTACGCGTTTGGTAAAATTAAAAGTGCTTATAAGTTAAGTGCTTATATGCCAAAAATAAGCCAAAAGTCATAACTTGGTCTCCCCCAACTTATCAAATTTCAGCTTATAAGCACTTTAGGTTTGACCAAAATATTTACTATTCTATCCCTAAAATACTTCTTTTTAAAACAAAACTCTTCGTATACCCAGTTCTTCAGCTGCTTATTAATAATTTCAGCACTTTTATCCAAACACATAACTGCTTATTTTTTAAATCAGCTTCAGCACTTAAAAGTGTTTTTCAGCACCTAATGCTTATCAGCTACTCTAAATCAGCTAAGCCAAACGGGCTCTAGTAACAAAATAGTGTTACATAAAATCAGGAAAGGAGCTGGTGTGTTAGTTAAAGTTTTGGGTGAACCAGAAACTTTGATCAAAATTTTGTATTATCTTAAAAAGTTATTAAATACATACTACCCAATAACTTGAAATGTTAGAATTTTGAACACTTAAATTTCAAATCCTGCTTTGCCATATAATAAAGGGAATATTACATGTTAATTTCTTAATATCAGAAATAAAAAGAATAAGATTTAAGCAATAAATCATCCATTCATTCCATATTCATGTTGCCGGATTTTGTGAACCTTCACAAAAGATGATGAGAGTAAAAATATACGCAAAAAATCATACTCCCTCCGTTTCAATTTATGTGAACTTATTTGACTTGACACGGAGTTTAAGAAAAATTTAAAATTTGTGGTCCTAAACAAGTCCAAATGGGACCCGGAGTATTTGTGTGGTTATAAAAGCTTCTCATTAAGGGTAGAATTATAATTTTAAGCTAAATTGTTACCAAATTTAGAAAGGGTTCATTTTTTTTTGGAACGGACCAAAAAGAAAATAATTTCACCCAATCAGGAAATTTTTTAATGACCAATGAGGGAGTAAAATGCGGTTTTTCTTGCCGTTTATTTTTTTTGAATGTTTGCCTTTGTCCAAACCCCACCTCATCATTATCAACATTTTCCTCAACTTCCGTCCTCTCTCTCTCGTTTTAGCCCCACATTTCTGTACTCAACTCAAAAGCTTTTGCATGTACACATCCCCATTTTTAACATTAATTAACAATAACAATAAAATATTTAATATATCAAGTTCGTGTCTATTAGTGGTTGCTGTAATAGTACCTTGATCTTTACTGATTACAAAAAGAATCTTGGATTTTCTCTCTTTCAATCTTCTCGTCTTTTTAGACTCTAGAGTTCTTTAGTACTTTGTTTCTAAAACTGTAGTTTTCTGTACTCAAAAAGCAGAGATGAGTGGAAACCAATCTCCAAGAATCTTTAACTCAACGAATCACTTTGATTTTTTAAAGAAATTCAAGCGTTTGAAGCCTTTAGAACCATCACCTGGACTTGTTGGCTACTTCTTTTTCCTTGTTTGTTTATTCGTATGTCTTTTCTTGTTGGATTATAGCACAGTACTGAAAACTGGTTCTCACTTTCGTGGGCCCTCTTTTTTTGTTACCTGGTTTGGTCTCAATGACTCTTCTTTAGTAAATATTACTACTAGTAACAGAAATGAAAAGGTGGGATTTTTGGAAAAAGGTGGTGATGGTTGTGATATTTTTTATGGGAATTGGGTATGGGATGAGAATTATCCACTTTATCAATCAAAAGATTGTAGGTTTTTGGATGAAGGATTTCGTTGTTCTGAAAATGGTAGGCCTGATAATTTCTATACTAAATGGCGTTGGCAGCCTAAAGACTGCAACTTGCCCAGGTTGGTTTATCTTTTTGTTTTTTTATTTTCTTCTTGTTTCCATCAATGAAATACTATTAATTGTATTGCTCTGTCTTGTGTATTTATGTTCTGCTGCTAATATCTTTTTGGGCAGAATTTTCATTTTTCTTGCATACCTTGACACACTATCATTTATTACTCGCTCTGTTTCAATTTATGCGATACTTCTTTTCTCTTTAATCTGCCCAAACAGAATGATATGTATACATATTTAGAAACAATTTAATAAACTTATGATTATACCTTGATGAGATGATTTATAGCAACAAAAATGTTTACCACAACTACAACTATTAGTACAATTGGGCTTTAGTCCCAAGTAAGTTGGAGTCCACTATATAAATCTCCACTGACTATTTTTTCTCCGTTTAAGCTCTATGACATGTTTTAGATCACAAGTTTCAAAACTCTTTTTTTCTTAATCTCGGCGTCTGGTCAGTTTCTCTAATATAAACTGGGACGGGGAAGTATTGTACGTCTTCATTGTACTGTATTGTGAGAGGATTATTGTGATTATCTGTAGAAGGTTTTTCATAATCATTTGATTGAGCCTGGATTTTCTTTTTTCTTTTCTTTTCTCTTCCCTCTTTCTTCCTTTCTTGCTTTCCCCTTTTTCTTGTTTATTGGAAACAGCCTCTCAACCTGTTAGGTAGGGCTAAGGTCTGCGTACATACTAACCTCCCCAGACCCCAGCTGATGGGAACATAGTGGGTTTGTTGTTGTTATTTGATTGAGCCTGGAAAACAAAAATTTAATGTTAATTACTACTCTGGGAACAGATTTGATGCAAAATATATGCTAGAAAAGCTGAGGAACCGACGAGTGGTGTTTGTTGGAGATTCAATCGGAAGAAACCAGTGGGAGTCTCTTCTCTGTTTGTTGTCTTCAGCAGTTACTGATAACAGCTCGGTATATGAAGTTAATGGTAGTCCAATCACAAAGCACACAGGTTCTTTAATTTTTAAGTTCAGGGATTTCAACTGCACAGTTGAGTACTATAGAGCACCATTCCTAGTGCTGCAAAGTCGTGCGCCTTCTGGGGCTGCCAGAAACGTTAAAATGACGGTGAAGCTGGATCAGATGGATTGGAGCTCTGCTAAGTGGAAAGGTGCAGATATTTTGATTTTCAACAGTGGTCACTGGTGGAATTATGAGAAAACCATTAGAGGGTAAGCTCATTTGTTTCCTTTCAATCACAGCCTTAATTTCCTTCGACTAATGTCTTCTAATGAATGGAATATGATACATCACTTGGACTATTTCTCAAGTAAAATAGGAAAATCTACTAGAGTGGCTAGAAATAGAGCTGATATTGGCTAGGAAAGCTATACCAAGTACTTTTTTTTTTTTTTTTATGTTATTATTATCTATACCAGAAATAGGAATTAGGGCCACTTAATAATTATTCGACTGCTAAAGGAATATGTTATAATAAAAGAGCTGCTAAAGATTGGTATCCAAATTAGTGGATCTCTTCCTGTTCTTTCTTTGCACAATGTTGAAGGATTAATTGAACTGATGTTTGGGTCAAGTACCGAAAAGTTTGAGTTCCAATTTCTTTCTAAATTGTCCCAATGCATTAATTATGTCTTGAATCTATGACACTTCATTTATATGCATGACTCGAAAGGGAATAAGCATGTATCCATGTGCATGATTGGCAAGATTCAGCTAATTGATCTAATACAGAAATATTCTTAGTTCAGCTCTACTTGGTTCATAGGGCATACTTAATGCTCCAATTTTAAATTTGATCAATGCAACGGTAGAAAGATGTGCAATGATTCACAAAATAGACACGATAATCTGCCATGGAAAATTAGATTTTGAATTTCTAGGCTTCATTCAGGTGGCAAAAAGAAACAAAGAAGATAGAATGAATGTGAAGGTGGTTAGTAATTCAATCTCCACATATGTCAATAAAAGAGCTGATTGAATATGTGTTGCCCCTTCATTTTCCTTTATTGTCTCATCCTTTAGATCGGCCTACTTATTGAAATGAAATGGGTCAGATGAGATTAGGTTGATACAAACCTGTTGACTTGTTGTGGACAAACTGTATGAGCATACAAATGCTTCTAGTTCTATTATCTAGTGAAAATGATACTTTTGTTAGGATCAAACAACGATAATTCTTTTAAAAAAATGATAAGTAGCCTAACAAGTCTGTGTACTGGAGTTTAGTCCTCTTTCATCCTGATGAAGCTCAAGTTATTTGGATATCTTGGTTCCGACCAATAAAAGGTGTATGAATGTTAAAGCACTTTAAATGTGTATTGCTTTAGTAGAGCTGAAAAACTTGATATATGTGAAGATTTACGACTCTTGATTTCCTTTTCCTTGACAGGGGATGCTACTTCCAAGAAGGCGGAAAGGTCAACATGACGATGAGTGTGGAGACAGCATTTCAGAAGTCAATTGTGACATTGGTTGATTGGATAGGTCGTGAAATTAACATGTCCAAGACCAAAATCTTCTTTCGTACTTATGCTCCTGTACACTTCAGGTAACTCTTCTCTCCTTTTCTTATTTGGATAAGTTACACTTCATGTAATTTTCACACTTGATCCATCAGATGTAGTTGACTTCCATAACACAACACAAACGATCATTGCTCAACAAACATACCTTGAATAAATCTTTTGAGGTCTTTTTTGTAGTATATCATATTAGAAATGTGAAACGGAGATTAGCTAAGACTCATCTAATGTCACAGATTCTTTCCATAATTATCTGTTTGTTGTATTACATGAGCCTTGAGAGGGTGAATGTAATTTTAACGGCTGTGATTACGCTTCATTGATCTTGTATAGAGATGGAATGTGTTGAATCTTGAATTGGGGAAAGGAACTAATCTAATAAAGAAAGGTCGTGCATTTTGTTTATCATCTTTAGTTTTGGCTCTATATCTTGGAACCTTGATCACTATTATTAAACTTTTAATAAAATTTGTTTGATCAATAAGGTGCGCATAATATTTCATTTGTCTTGGTAATGGAAATAATATTTAAAACAACTTAGAAACTGATCAAATTTTTATAGAATCAAAATAGCGGGCACTAGTCGAATCTCTATATACTTAATTTCAATGATCAAACTAATTGTTGCCTACAGAAGGGTGCATTTGTAGCATAACACTGAACTAAATGGAATACTACCAATTGTCATGGGGGGATGGTCCTCTACATTTTGCTTGAGGGAAGGTCAGCATAGTTTCCCCATCCCCACCCTCCCTCAAAACCCAAAAAAGGAAAAAAGAAAAAAAAAATCAGTTTTGCGGTTTAAAACTAATATCTTGATGGAGAAATATTTCATTTCTTTTAGAGGAAAAATATTTTGTCCAATACATTATCCTTCAAAGGAGAGACAGTACTTTGAATGAGCGGCCACACTGCCTTTTAATCAGGAAAAGATATCTGTTCCCAGGAGGTCACGAGTTCAAGTCGTGGAAACAACCTCTTGCAGAAATGCAGGGTAAGGCTGCGTACTATAGACCCTTGTGGTCCGGACCTTCCCTGGACCCTGCGCATAGCGGGAGCTTAGTGCACCGGGCTGCCCTTTTTATATCTGTTGCCACTGCCACTTGCTGGATTCACTTACTTGGAATGTTTGTTAAGTTGGTTTAGTACTTGGTGTGATTTCTTGATTATTTTATAGCTGCAAATTATTGGTATTTTGATTAATAATATCTAACGAGCCATGCAAACTAGTCTAATGTGTTCAGTAGATATTTAGTTTTGGTTGTCTCACTCGATATGCAATTAATGAATCACTGTGATGAACAGAGGTGGAGATTGGAGGACCGGTGGTAGCTGTCACTTGGAGACACTACCTGACTTAGGATCATCGGAAGAGTCAGTGAATAACTCATTTGAATATAAGACGGTCCTAAATGTGCTATCGCAGTTTGCTAACAAATCAAAGGCTTGGACTATGGGTTTATTGAATGTAACGGGAATGACATCTCGGAGAAGAGATGGTCACTTGTCTTTATATTATTTAGGGCCTAATGTGGGACCAGTTCCTCTTCACAAGCAAGACTGCAGCCACTGGTGTCTCCCCGGCGTCCCTGATTCATGGAATGAGCTTCTCTATGCAGTCCTCCTCAAACAGGAGTTATCTCGGGAACAAATCTCCGAATACACTTCTTCTCAGTTCCCGGAATGACAGCAGAGAGGTCATCTCTCAAGCAGTTCACCTTGTTACAGCTCGTAATTATCAGACGTGTAACGTTGGAAAGGGAACTTGTGCTGGATCAATCAATATGCCAATACTATTAGGTCAAATGACTGTGGCCTTCTTCGAGAATCAATTTGAAATTACGAAGAAAAGGGCTTCCTCACTTGAGCGGATGAGATACCTCCTTGGTTCCAATTGCAGTTTGTGTGTACATTTGATTTTTTCCTGAATCCTTTAGTCGATCAGGAGTGAAATTTAGGTTGCAATATTGTATAGTGTAAAGAGCATTGTGAACTGTATAGATGAAGAGACATTATCCATTATGATAACACTGGAAAACACTGATCCTTTTGATAGTTCATAGAACAACAATAACTATGCCTCTACCTCAAGCAAGTCGGGGTCGGCTATATGTTGGGTGAGGAAAAATGTAGCACCGATGCCAGCCATTTGGTTCACTGTTGTAAAATTCTTCTTCAAATTGCAATGATAATTGTATAAGTATGTTTTAAAGTTTAACTCTATTATTTCTGAAGTCAACATCTTTCGCACCTCCTTCCATATCTTCTACTAGTATATCCTTTTCTCAGTAAGAAAGATCTGAGCTAATAAACTGTTCCCAGCTGTGCTAACTAATGCTAGAGCTGACCTCAAATTTGGTCAAATCATATTCCTTCAAGTTGACTCTTCAAGTAATCTTTATTTGAAACCTTTTACGAAGGAGATATATTAGTTACATCTACACATGAAAATTAAGATCTGGTGATAGGAAATACGTCTACCAAAATTGAGGATCTATTTTATCACGGTATTAGATCCTAAGTTATTTACAAAGAATTCAAAGTAATAATTCTTTTAGTGGTAAATCAGTAAAAATAGATAAAAATTGTGAAAACAATCAAATAAGGGCAAGAATCCTCCCTATATATAAGGGAAATGTCAAAAGGCACATGAAAATGTTGTTATGTAGCACCAAGGTAGACAAGAATACATGTTTAATCCCAGATTTTCAAGACAGCTTAATTCGGAGGTTAATCGTTAAAAGGGTATTGTTCATACCTCATTGTACAATCAACAAGCAAAACACGACCTCCAATTCTAGCATCACAACTAGTAAGTAGAGTATCTTTAGCTGAAGCCAAACAAGTTTTACAATCTTGTTTGGTTAGAGTAGTAGTGTTGTTGTTGCAAGCAGCATGTCCATATGCAAAAGCGTTTGGGTAGGGAGAAATGTTGTGGTAGTCATATCCGTGGCACGACGGCGTGGTGCTCACTAGTTCTGCAACAACATAGGCTAGACTTATGGCAAAAGGATCATCTTTGAAATATTGTCCGCTGTTGCACTGGACCTTTGTCAAGTTGGTGTTGGGAATGCCTTTTACTACTTCAAAATTCAGTCCCAGAATGAGAATTGCCACAACTAGTATTAAGTTTGTCATCACTTTTATTATCTTTGGAGAAAACAGGTTCAACCCTTTTCTTCTGCAAATGTTTCTGTTTTTCTAAGTATTTGAGATGATAATTGTGTCCTCCGCCTGTCTGGGGGCAGGACAAGATGTAGCTTTCTTGCCTTTGTTGTCATTTTGTTTGTTTCAGTTTTGGTTTAGTGAAGCTTTGGTCCTTAGCAATTGTCTTGAGCTTTTGTTTGGTCTTTGGTGGTTGAGATTCGTACATCTAGTTGTGCTTACTAACTTAGTGTGATTAACATGTATATACTCATCTATATTCAATGACCCTATGAAGAGGTTTTACATAACCAGTGTAAACTAATTAGTTAATTTCATCAAGTTATTTATCTTCTTTTTGTTTTGAGTTCTTCATCTTGTCTATTGTAAATAGTAGCTTATATTTTGTTTTTAAGTAGTTTTGGTTGGGTGTTGTACTAATTTTATCATATTTGTTTTTCTTATCTCTTGAAGAAAAGGACAACATGTTTACCAAAATTGGGTTTTCCTTCTTATAGAAGGAAATTATTAAATCTCTCATATTTGGCTAGTCCCTTTTCTTATAGGAAAATGTTTGAACTTCTATAAATTGAGGATCTTTAATTTCCTTCTCATTCAGTAGCATCCACAATGTAGCCATATGGTGTTTGAGAGTCTTGTTTAGAGGGGAGAACTATACGGGACAAATGTTAGTTTATCACTTATGTTTTCCTCTTCGTGAGGTTGTTCTCTCGATATTTTGTACTCGCTTTTTTATATAGTGGATTGCTCATCTCCGCCCATGGAGGTAGGTCAAATTGACCGAACCACGTTAAATGTTTGTATCTCTTTTGGTATATTTCTCTTTTGTTGTATGATTTATCGTCTTTCAAGTGTTGTTTTACTAGCTTCCACATGACACCTGATTATTTTCGGTCCAAACAGTTTAATTCTATAAGAAATCTTTTACATTGTCGGTAATAAAAATTAAACGTTTGCTTGTAGCATCCTGATCTTATAACTGTATAGAATTAATAAAAGACAGAAGATAGATTTGAATAACATGTTTTTCCTAGGGGTGACAAATGGGCGAGTGGGGCTAAATTTGAGCGGGTCAAGACGGGTTAGGTCAATAAATGGGTCATTGCCCAACCCAGCCCAAAGTGTACTTGGACTAAGATGGGCTAAAAATTGGTCATAGCCCAACCCGCCCAACTTGACCCATATTTTAGAACCATGCTCATCTTGCATAAACAAAACTTTTTACCTTTTATACACCTATGTATAAAAGATAAATAAATACTATTAGTATTTTGAGAATCAAAATATATTTTCTTAGTAACAAATTAGTATTAAAATGTGTT